ATTGGTTCCATCTTGTCCTGGCATGATATAATTTATAGAGATCTCATAATTTTCATTGATTTCAAGTACTTGAATTTCTTCGGAAAACTTACTAGTCATGTCTAGGATTTCTTCTAGAATTTACTTTTCTAGAACTTAAATATCTTGAATATTTGCTTCTTTTCATTTTCTAGGATTTTTATCTTTAAAACCAATTAGTCTACTACACTTCAGGCGTGCCTTAGACTCATTAGCATAGGCAGTTTGTCCTTCAAGGACTTTAATTCTAATAAGAGCATTTTACAGCTAGTTTATGAGATTTAATTATTTCCTTTTGGATCAGTAAATATATCTAGTAACTAATTTGCAATATTTTGTAAATGAATTATCTTTTAAAATTTTAAATTCACACTGCCTTGTATGAGAATCAAGATATAATAACGACAATTCTTTTTCAATTAATTATTCTTCTAGCTGCTTATTTTCTTCCCCTAATGTCAAGATCTGTAACAATTAGCAAATTTGACTATAAATAACTTTCTTATTTTTGAAAGTTCTAGATAGATAGATGTAAATTCATACCCGACATATTTTTCAACCTCATTTGAGGACCTATCTTAGTGCGTTGTGGTGGAGCAATTAGAACATACGCCGCACGTTCAAAAATTCATGGATGAATAATATTTGGTTCTTGATCTAAAACCGATTGTAAAGGAGAGAACTTATAATAACTTATTGGCCTGATGCGAGTAAGTACTACTATATATAATAGCATGCTGCTCTACAAAAATAAGGAGCTTTGTTCTCATAATAATTGTCTTGCAATTAATTACAATGATTTATAAATGATTCTACTAAATCATTTTTGAGCATAAATAAAAGCAACAACATGTTACCCTAAATTATTTCAATTAACACACGCCATAATCATTAAAGGCCGTTGTGTAAATTTATCATTATTCTCAAAATAAATTGTCTTAATAGCATAATCTAGAAATTGTATTTTTAATTAAATTATTTGCGTAATAATCATACAAACTTCTAGTTGCATGTTGATAATAATCATGTAACAATCTTTTGGATGCATCTATACAATATCCAAATAATCTACATGATGGATGAATTAATCAATAATTTCACTTTATATATTTCAGAAAATGCAAGTAGTTCAATTTGAACTCTTGGTGATTGCTCAATAATTAATTTACTGTTCAATTTGAACTCTTGGTGATTGCTCAATAATTAATTTACTTTGAGAACAAACTAAGCATGAAAAATTCAATAGATTTGAAGAAACTTCTGATTCTTCAATAAATATCCATTTAAGGATTTTTTTTTCCGCATCATTATTGATCAGAATGGTTCAATCGATCATGCCAAATGATAAAGTACTTGAATTTATAAATTTTTGGCCTACAACAATATTTATTTCAATTATAAATATCTTTGGAATGCTGCATTATGCATAAAATTCATTCCTTTTTGGTAGTAATACTTGCTCTTACGGAGCCTTTAAATATTCTTCTACTACCAAAATCAAATTTGCCTTCTAATATTTGGTGTACAAGTACATAACCAATATCTACATACGCCACATTTATTTGTACCACTTCTGGTTGTAAGATTTGTTCTTATTAACTCATGTGGCTACCATTATTGCTAAAATCATTATTTCAATTATAATCTCATGAATATTCTCAATCACAATTATATCTTTAACATTATTCATATTCACGCCCAATATCATATATTATTGCATTCACTTCAGAGAAAATATCATATCTAGTTGGGTAGACACAGCTAGAGCCATATATATGTTATTCTATTCAATTCAAGGAATTGGGCAAAATTTAGTTGGGTGATCTCATGATCTTTATTAAAATCTTTTTATTTTGCTCAATGATATAAAAGATATGAAAAATTCAAAATATATCTTAAAATCATCTCTCTCAATATTACTACTTCAGGAGCATGTTCGAAGTATAAATATCATTAACAATTTTAAATCAAGGGCTAATATAAGCTTCAAATATAATAACGGCAATATCTTAATTATATTTAAGAAATAAATCAATCAAATCTCAAAAATTTATACTACATAGATAATATATATCAATATAAACAATAATTAACAAATAATAAAATAATAATAATAGGTAATCAAATTTCCCACTTAAGGAATTGAAGTCATTTATAATAAGTAGAACGCTTCTTTAGCAAATTTAATAAATAAAATTACAAGACATATTATAATATTTAAAATACTTAGCAAAACTGGGAAAAATAATTGCAAAATTTGCCCGAGTTCTAATTAACAAATCGATACAAATATGGGTATTTCATAAATAGTTCTAATTGTGGTTGCCTTTATCCACAGACTACTTAGTTTACCAAATCAAACTTATTATTATATAATTAATTAAATTAATATCATACCAAATCAAACTTTCATTTAGGTGATGAGTTGGATTTTCTTAGTTGAAGAAGATGACAAATTGTTGAGCTAACCCTAACGATGACGATAAGGATGTTTGAAACGTCCAGTTCACATATGATAGTTCGTAGTCGCAGAAAGCGTGTAGGATGGCGTTTCAGTTTGAGTTATTGCGTTTCTGTCACTATCTGGCTTTCAACAATCCGTAGCATGGTTTAATATTTCTTTTTGGAAGCTTTTATATCAATTTCAATTTTTTTGTTTTGAAAAAAAAAAATACTAGCATGTGATCCTTATCTTGTCACGAGTATTTGATATTGTCAAAATTAAAATAAATGAATCAAAATTGAAATTGGATTATGACTTTTTTTTTTTTTTATTTACATCCAATCAGACATAAAAGTAAATTTATAATCAAATTAGCATAATAATTTTATTTTACCTAGTCATGAGTTGGGTTCTCAAAGTCTAATAAATCAAATAATCCTCTCTATGCAATTCAAAATGTAAAGTAAGTCTACGTATGTTATTAGTACGATCATGAAATAGATATAATAAAATTTAAAAACGATAAACTAGAAAGAGAAATAAGAAAAAAAAAAAAAAAAAGAAAAAAAAAAAAAAACGACCAAGAATAGGCCCAATTCCAAAAAAAAAAAAAAAAAAAAAAAAAAAAGACCAAGATAGCAATTCAAATAAAAAATTTTTAAAGTTGAACATTAAAAAATAAATTTTATTGTCAAATATAACAAAAGAAAATGATACATCACTTTACATGAATCAAAGAAAATCGATGAAAAACATGTAAAATATGACTGAAATTGACTTCCTTTTTTTTATTTTGAATTGGATTTTTCAAGCTTATTATAATTATTATTAGGGTTCATATTCCAGTAAACTATACAATATTAGATTGAAATAGGAGTTTTTAATATTAAATTTTAAAAACATTTTACTCAATTTTAATATTGTATTATTAAAATATATAATTAAAACTAAAAAATAAAATAAAATAAAATTTGAATAGGGATATGGAATTTTGTACTATATTTCCATTCAATATTTTATATACCAATATCTTAAAATATACATTTCATTTAATTTTTATATTCTAAAATTCCGTTCTAAATTGAAATTCAATTTGAATCGATTAATTCCAAACCAGTTTACACCCCTACTGAATAGAACAGAGATGGGAATTGATGGTGCCAAAACCAAAATCAATTATTAATTTTTCTTTTATCTTAAATATTAATAAATAGCCTTAATTAAATTTTATCAAGTACAAAAGAGAAATTTATTATTATTATTATTACCAATGTTTTTTAGGATAGAGTAATTGGTACTCCTTTCCCTTAATTAAATGTTCGAGCTTTATACTCGGAGCCTGATTTAGTCAAAATCCAATAAGCTTTCAAATACCAATGGTTACGATTAAAAAAAAAAAAGGAAGAAAAGTTTATTAGTATTAACTTTTTTTTTTTATGTTATCTTATATTTTCTTAAGTACCATATTTAATTATTTTTCATAGAGAATTAATATTCCAGCTATTATGTTAACGAGGCAGTAAATAATTTCAAATATTCAAGCCATTATATGGTTTAATAACTAGTAATATAAAATGAAACCCGTTATTTAATAACTAGTAATATAAAATTACCAAAATGGCAAAATCTATACAACATAAATATCAAAACCCATATAAATACCCATCTATCGGGATATCAATTTAACCCGACCCGACCCAATTTTAGCTGGTTTGGGTAATGAATAAATAGGTTTGTGACGAGTTTAGATAGTATTTTTACTATCCGTATTGGGTTCAGATCAGGCAGAGTATTTTAAACGGATACCTGATCCGTTGCCATGCCTACCCATGTAATGGCTGAATCCATATAAGAAGACTGAAAATTCAAACCAAATCCATGGAGTTTCGAGCAAACCAATATCTCAACGAAAAATTTACACAAACAAAATCCATTAAAAACACCTAAATTACTCAATAAACTAACAGCTAGCACATAACTGTCTTAGATAATTAAAGGACCACCAAATCCCCTAGTTCTCTCTTTGTTTCTAAACCAAGCAATTATGCAAATATGAATTTATTCATTTCATTTTTTTTTTTTTTTTTTTTCAGTTTGGTTTGATGCTATGTGAGACTGTGTGTGTGTGTGTGTGTGTGTGTGTGTCACAAACTGCACTGATATGAAGAGTTAAAGTTCTTTAAAACTTCAAAAGTTCATCATTTTGTTTATAGAAATTTACACAACACAAGATAATAACAAGAAACTTCCCATGTCAACTAGGTCTAGCTACAGATATTGAAAATATTGCATTCCAACTAATGTCCAAGAACTGAAAGAAAGCATCAACCAATTAGTCCTAGCTACAGTTTTGAAAATATTGCAACATAAAGATTTGAAAAAAAAAAAAAAAAAAGGGAAAAAAAAAAAAAAAAAAGGCCTCACTAAGTGATTCAATGCTGTGCAACTGCAGACAGTAACTATCTTTTTGTGTTAAAAAAAAAAAAAAAAAAAGGCCTCACTAAGTGATTCAAATGCTGTGCACTGGCAGACAACTATCTTTTTGTGATAACAAAACACTGGTATTGAAAAACAACTCGAGACACATCCAAGATTACAAGGCATAGTGATGTTTTAATAACAAAAGGTGTAGCTAAAAGGCCTATTTACCTCCAGCCTTTGAAAAATTGTTGACCATTTGAAAGTAAAATGTATAATATATATAAAAACAATCTGTTGTGAATCTATGAGAGCAACCTACATTGTGAACACATAACCAGATGAACTGTCTACAATATAGTTAAATACCTTTTCAACTCAGCATTAAATGACAAAGATTCGAAAAACCAGCCTCTCTATAGCAAGTCTACTGATTCTTCTTTAGTGTAGAAGTTGAGGATCGACGATCTTGGTTAGAAGTTCTGATAATAAAAAGCAAAGTTTCTACAAGCATTCCACAAACTAGACCAAGAATCCCTCCAGCAGCACTCTGGATTAAATGGAAGATTGGCATCAAAGTTCAATAAAATAGGAAATGGAAGAGAAAAGTTTGAAGCAATAGGTTTATGTGCTCATGGCAAATTGATGACAAGGGAAAACAATATCCCCACAAGACAAGCAGTTTACACTTGCAATGATCAAGAAAAAACACACAAGCATATATAGAAAAGATGGCATCTTATCTTACCATTCCAAGATTGTGGCCAAACAATGCCCTAAATGTTGCATATCCCACCAAGTAGCCAGTAAACATGGTTAGAGCAACATGTAAACCTGTGAAAGTTTTCAAGGCAATAACTTCAGAACATCATAACATCATATTTAAAAATGCTTGGAATAAACCATACAGAATTCATTTCATTTGCAAATAAATTTCATTTCACGTTTGGATTAACTATAGAATTAATTGAAATATTTAACATTATTAGCTTGTACTTTAGATTGATTAGTTTAGATAGCTCGACCCTTGTTAACTTTATAGTTCAATTGCAAATTCTATCAATTTTGATGAGATTTAATTCAAGCATACAACCAATTCCGTGGAGTTAAAAATGTAGAGTTCTACATGAATTTTCATCTATAGCAAACATGAAAATATAGATTTGCACAAGATTCCAGAAAATTTTATGCAGTTTTCAACCATACCAAACAAGTTCTTAATGAGCAATGCATTCTGGAAACAGAAAATTCTAATATCATATTGCTGCAGGAACTTTAGATGTAACTTTGCAAGTTCAATGATAATTACCAAAACCAAGCTGATCCTTGTAAGAGGAGAAAGGCTCAGTCTCGTCGTTCCTTGGTGTAATATCCATAACAAGCTTCTGGTATGCATTCCTCTCTGCCAATTCCTCAAGTTTCCTCAGTCTTGCCTTTAACGCTTCACTCTATATCAATCTCAAAATAAAAGAAATATGGAAAGGCAAACAAAATAAGCATAAATTTAATACACCAACACAAAAACCCATTTTCTTAGTTGCCAGAGGGAATATCATCAAGTCAACTAAAGTTACATTAAGGATCTGCTTCTTATTAATGAATTCCACAAAATTATGTAGAATTCATTCGGAACTTCTCATTTTCACAGTTGATGTAAACAAAAATGTTCATTTCACTTCAAAATATGTAAGTCAATATAACTAAAACAATTTTTCTCAGTAAATGCATTTCACACTTCAACTCATCTATACCAAACAAGGGGTGATTTTTCAATTTGATGAATTATTTTGACTTTTCCACAAAATCATGTCTGTTTGGTCACCAAGACATGAAGGAAATTTTAAAAACCTATGTTTTTTTTTTTAACTTCATTATTGCAAATTCCAAAAAGAAAAAAAAAAAAAGGCAATGAAAAACAGCTCAAGTATGCTGAGCATAAATACTACACTTAGTCCAATTGAGAGATTTTCTCATTTTTCACAATTTTCCTAAGAAACATACAGCATATATACAAGAGAAAGAGAAAGAAAATTGCAAGCCTTACCTTTTCTCTAGGTTTAGGACTAGTAAAGAGGAATTCAGATCCTGAGAAGAGGCTGGCCAAATCAGGTCGGTTGGAAGGCTGGCATGCTATCCATAAGCTACGTAGAGACTTGTAGTGTATATTATTTTGAGTGAGGAGAGTGGAAGCAAGGGCTCGAAGGTTCTGAGAAAGGTGTGGTTGTTTGGAAGCTGAAAGGAGAAAGGAACGAATGGGTTCAGTGGTCGATATAATCAATCCAGGTGTGTTTTGAGGCTCAGTTGTGGTGCTCATTGTTTGAGAAGGAATCATATATAGTTTCAATCTAGTACATTGGTGAAAGAGCAACAACCTCAACCCTGTTCACATCAAACCCAAACAAATATCACAATAATTAAAGCTTGAAAGCAGAACCTAAAAATATACAAAACAAAATCACATGAACATTTAAATTCTCAGAGAACCAAATTTGCAAACTTTGTCAACTGGACTAATAATACTTACATTTAATTTTTTTGAAAAAAAAATCCCATTTTCACAGTAATCAAATCAAAGAACAAACCACCATAGACATTCGAATTCACAAAACAAAATTACAGAAACAATCATCAAAGCTTTCTTCTTTTTCTTTTACTGCACCAGAATCAAACAAACATAATATCCTCAATTAGGTTTTCCTTAGTCCGATTCATTAGATTCCCGTCATTGGGATCAAATGCTGAGGCAGTGACTGGGTGCTTGCAAGTGTATGAAAACGAGAATGGGAAAAGAAATTGGGATTTCCAAACCAAAACAAAAAAGAGTTAAAGAGGTACTCACCGATTTGTAGCTTTTGCTGTAGTTTCTAGTGAATTACATTTTTATGGTTAGAGATCAAGGATGAAGACAGAATGCTGAGAACGAAGGAAAGACATAACGAATAGGCGGAAGAGAGAGAATGAATCGAATTATTTTTTCACTAATGTGCATTTTGAAGAGCATATTTTTTTTTTTCAATTTATTTGATATATTTAGTTCTTATCACTAGTTGTCAAAAAAAATTTTTGAGAAGAAATCAAAACTGAAAATTTTATTAGGAGAAAACAGAAAATTGATATAATTGAGAATAATTTTTTTTAGAATAAATTAAAACTGAAAATTTTACTAGGAGAAAACAGTATTTTGATAAAGAATGGCGAAATACATAAATTCATTTCTGAATTTTACAACTTTAATCATATGTCATCCTGAATTTTATCAATGACCTATCAATATCATGCATTTGAATTTATAAATTTTAGTAACATTGCACTCCTTTCCACAATAACAGCAATAGTTTTAAGAATTTTAGCTTTTATTCACAAAATATCAATTTGATATTTTGCAAACATGATGTTTGAAATAATAATTTTCATGACTTTCAACTATTTAATAAATGTTTAATTAATCTAATTTTGCAAATTGAAGTGTTCAATAAAATGATTTTATGAATTGAAGTGTTTAATAGGTGCAATTTTATGAATTGAAGTGTTTAATGAATCAAAGTAAAAATTGAGGACAATATAAAGTTAAAGTAACAAAGTTCGTGTATTGAGTCAATATAGAATACAAATCGATAAGTTTCTATAATTTTGCATAAAAGTCTAAATAATAAACTTCTCATATAAAAAAAAAAAAAAAAAAATACTAGAGATACATCGATAAGTTTCTATAAATTTTGCATAAAAGTCCCTAAATAATAAACTTCTTCATATAAAAAAAAAAAAAAAAAAATACAATCTTAAATTGAAAGTATTTCGATCTAGCTTGAACAATTGATAAAGAGCATAATATATGTACCATAAGGCAGTTTTTAATTATCTTGTGACATCAACAGCTGGTTTTGGGGGGGGGAAATTTGAGCTACATTTTTAAAGCCGTTAAAAAGGAATTTGAAATTTGGGAGAAAAATTTGGCAAATGAAAAAAAAAAAAAAAAAAATACAATCTTAATTTGAAGTATTCGATCTAGTTGACAATTGATAGAGCATAATATATGTACCATAGGCAGTTTTTTAATTATCTTGTGACATCAACAGCTGTTTTGGGGGAAATTTGAGCTACATTTTAAGCGCTTAAAAAGGAATTTGAAATTTGAGAAAATTTTGGCAATGTTTCAAATTTAAAGGGAAATTTAGAGGATTATAAAAGTGGGGCATTGTTCAATTGAGGGTGCAAAATTAACCACTTTTGGAGCCTAGTTTTTTAGTGCTTGCAAAAGGTCTCCTGAACTTCTATTTATATATGACCATATGTAAGTAAAGAAGAACCCATCAAGAGAAAAAACTTTTATTTGCAGACATTATAGAATAGGGCACTTTAAAAATAAATGAAAATTCTCTAAGCATCATGGATGCAACATTTCGATTATACTTCAACTACTTTCCTAATAGTTCGCCCACAAACAAATTTAAGAAATGCCTACACCTGATGAACTTGAATTAGATTTTAATGCTTCACCTACTGAAGTTGACTCAAACATTGTGAATGAAGCGACAACTGAGCTGTTGTGTAGTATCCAATTACAACCACGTTTAGTGAATGTGCTCATTTTCTTCATTCTTTTTGCACACAATTTTACAATCGTCTACTTACGTCACTTTTTGTATTAGACGCATATAATTAAATTTATAGCCTTAATCTGAATTCTCGCGCATATGTCGCTTTTGTCTACATTGTTTATGTCACTTTTGATGTTGCACTTTCACTGCTAGGAATGGAAATAGGGAGGGTATCCTTAAAATTTGTACTACCCACACTCAAACCCACTTAAATATTTTGATACCATACCCATTCCAAACCTGTTTAAAATTCCTTTTTAATATCTATACCCACATCCATTTAAAACATTAAACATTAATACCCGCACCCATTCCACACCCATTTAACTTATTCCCAAAGCCACTTTAAATAGGTTAGGTGAGTAGAATGTCCACGACTGTCCACTCAGCTTATATGTGCAATAACTCACTAAGTCCATTATAGTTGATGTCGGTCAAGCCTTGGAAGATGGAGATGAAAATAAAGGGTGAGACTACTAACTCCACGACAAAACACAAACAAGTCACATCCAATCACATAATCTCACATCATTCACAGAGTGCATAATATAAGACATCCCCTTATTTTTCAATATATAAAATATACATTCAATGCAACTTGTGGCATACACGCTTATATGGCATCTCCATATGTATGCATGTTTCGCATAGATATCATATTCTTCATGTATGCATGAATGTAAAATGCATGTGTTGCGAATTATCTAACTTTTTTCACAGTTCATTATTGTCCTTAATAGGACTATCTTTATTAATGCTTCATTTCAGCTTTTGTCTTGTCATTCTGCTATTGTAAGCATTTAGAAGGGAAATTCTAAGTATGAATTCTAATTCGAGAAATTCAATTCTCATTCATTTGCTAATTACGGTCACTATAGCAACTTACCTTAACTTATCAAACTATATAATTACAATTCTTTTATTTATTTATTTATTCTAATTGATAACTTTAATAAAGCTTGTGGTTCTTTGGTAATTAATGATTTATAATAATAATAATACTACTACTACTACTACTAATAATAATAATGATAAAAGTAATACTAATAATATTAATAGTCATTTCCCATTAATGATATAACTAACCTAGTTCTTTAATAAGTGTTTTGCCGAAAATCCGATAGCATCTTCCCAAAGCCCTATAATACGGACTATCCGCCAATTCAAGTTTCACAAGTCCCAGCCCATCCATCAAGCAATTCCTCAATCTAAGCCCTTCTTTCGATATCACAATATATATATAGCGTTCAATACTCATGTCATTTCAGGCTTACCAATAACATATCACTAGCTAATAACAAAAACTTATCATTTAATCCAATTTATTTAACTTTATCACGGCCACCATTTATATGCTTTTAACTAAAGTTCAATCAAATGTTTAAAATTCGTTTAATTGTTCAATATTTACACTTGCAAATAATGAATATAACGTTGCAAAATATTAGATCCCAATTTATTAGTTCAATACCAAATTTAGGAATAGGAAATTTAAATTTAAACTTGAAATTTGACAATTGGAGGCCTTGCGACTCACCGATTCAAAATTGGATTGCAAGCTTATGATCTACGGCAAAGAAAAGAAAATTCTGTCTCTAATGACCTCGCTAGACCGCCGCACAGTGGACGGGAAATCGGCTTCAGCGGAGCTGTACGAAATTTACACCAGACCAATCCTTTTAGTGAGGGGATTTCATATCTTTGATCAATTTAACCATATGAGCTATCATTACACTGTATATGATGAATCCCTAAAATTTTTAAGACCCACTTTCAAATTTCACAAAACCGTCTATAAAACTTGAAATTAACTTGAGAAAAGTAATCTAGGAGGTGTTTTGGAGTTAGTATTCTCTCACCTATGGTCTTGATTCTTGCCGGAAGCGAGGAAGGTCGCCGTAATCAATGGCTAAACGTTTCTGTCTCTCTTTAGATTCAGGTTGGGATCAAAGCTGTGGCCGTGCATGGCGTCGATCGCTTCCCGGAGCTGGCCGAAAGTTGATCGGTGAAGGAGAGGCTGGAAGCCTCTGTCGGACGATGTGAAGGAGAGAAGGGAGAGGAGAAGAAAGCCTCGCTTTCTCTCTCCTGAATACCTTTCATACTTCGGTTTGGTTTGAATCGACCTTGGTTTGGTTCAGTTCAAATCTTTTTAAGCCCAGTTTTTTTGTTTTTTATTATCGCGGGTCTTGCTTTTTTTTTTTTTTTTTTTTTTCTCAGTTTTTTGTTTTTTTTTAATCGCGGGTCTGGGCTTTTTTTTTTTTTTTTTTTTGTTTTTTTTTTTTTTTTTTTTTTTTTTTTTTTTGGGGTTTGTTTGTTGAAAGGGAGGTAGGGAGGGGTGGGGAATGGCAGACGGGGTTCGGATAGCCCCCGCCCGGGTGGGATGACCGTAAAAAATCTGCAAGCACTTGGTCCGGATCCAAATTTGATTATTAAAAAAAATAGTATCGCCTCCAAATCGGTTCTCATAATTTGTTTGAAAATTCTATATTTTAACTATTTTTTTATTTACAATTAAAAAACAACAATCTATCCAATTTGATTATAAGATTACCACCGTTTAAAAACTCATTTAGCGATTAAATATATTTTTTTAAATTTTTAAAAATAAAATAACTAAAAATTATTAAAAAATTTTAATTTTGATTTTTATTTTGACTTAATAAAGAATATAATATAAATATTAAATGATTATAGCATTAATTATAATTAAAAAAAGTGTGTATATATAATTCTTCATTTAAAAAATAATAATTTTAAATATTTTTGAATATTTATTAAACGGGTAACGGGTAGGGGTAATCATGTCCTTGAACCGAATCCGCGACGAGTAGTAAAATTACTACCTGAATCTGTTTCAAACCCATTTATTTACTACTCGAACCTGCTAAAATTAGATCGAATCGAATCGGTTTAAATTGCCATCCCTGAAAGGGGTCTTGTTTAAATGGTTCTCGATCCATTTGAATTCTTTAATGCTATAATATTATTCAATAACTAGTTATGAATTCGCATTTCGCGCGCAAGTATTTATATAACGTTTAAGTTGTTCTTTTGTGACATTTTTTTGTAACTTTTATATTGAAATTCAAGCATAAAAGTGATTCGAATAAATAATTTTAATATGAAAATAATTTTCTTCTATTTTTAATGAGTTTATATTGTTAAAACCAATTATATAGTAAAATTAAACATAAACACACAAACTTTCATCAAATACTAATATAAATACTTTTATTAATTAGTATTAGTTATCTTACTACCATCCTTTACTTTGAATTGTTTAGAAAATATATCGTCTGCTATGAAATTAGTGGATATCCTACATGGGTTAGAAGTTTATATTCCTAATCATTAGAACTCTATCTTCCTTTATCAAGTTCCACTCTTGTACCTATATATATTTGTGGTTCTCATAAATAATAATAATAACACTCTCGTATTTCTTCTTATTTTCTCTTTATTTCTCTCTTTAGTTTCATATTATTTTATAACACGTTATCAGCACGATTTTGTTTTACCACTTCGATTGCAAACATGAGTAACAAGTTCCACTCAATTGACGTTCAACATTTCATAAAAACATGAGTAACATCCTCCTCATCATTGCAAAAAGCATACCTCTTATTAATGCAGACCCCTCTATCAAAGATCTTAACTCTAGTAAGAAGGATAACTTTCAATGCTCTCTAAGAAATTGCTTTCATCTTACGGGGAATGTTTAAATTTCAAATCCTATGCCAAATATTCCCATTCTCTTTTTTATCCCCCTCTTCCAAGGATATTAAGGTAATATATAGCAAGATTTAATAATATAAGTCCCTTTTTTCTTATAATTCCTCATTATAATTATATTGTCCCTATTACTAACGCTTATAGGAATATTAAGGATGGCTTGAATATCTCTCGTACTAAAAGGCCCCACAATTTTAGTAAAATCCCAACTTCTGCAGTCCCTAGACATAAGGGCATAAACTCTCATGGTACCATCAATTAAATTTGGATCCTCCACAATAAAGGACTCATCTTTAAGGATCCAAGGGCCCTGTTTTAAAATATGTCTGGAAAACAAAATACTCTTCCAAGTAAAACTAGGATTGTGTCCTAAGGACACTAAAAAATTCCCCTCTGAAAAATATTTAGCTTTGAGGATATTATGAAGAAGAGTATTGGGTTGAGCGAGAAGTTTCCACCTTGTTTACCTAGCATAGCTATATTAAAACAGTTCAAGTCTCTAAAACCCATCCCTCCATCTTTTTTGCTATGACACATTTGATCCTAAGAAAATCAATGAATACCACTTCTATCACCACCTTTCTTGCCCCACCAATAAGAGTTCACGATTTTCTGAAATTCATCACAAGTAGACTTGCGAATGAGAAAAACACTCATATAGAAGGACGGTAAAGCCTGAGCTATGGACTTTAGTAAAATATCCCTACCCGCCCTAGACAAGGTCCTATTGTTACAACAATTAATTCTATTCCAATGCTTATCTTTAAGTAATTGAAAATCTACTTTTATTCTGACCTACTAAAGAAGGTAAACCTAGATATTTACCCCCACTCAATGGATTAAAACCCCCAGGGTATTAGACACAGACATATTATCAACACTAAACATGTAAGGACTAAACAGAATACCCGATTTTTGGAAATTAATCGCCTACCCCGAAGTCTCCTCAAACACACTTAAAATCTCTTTTACTTTTTTACTCTCTCTAGGCGTAATCATCAACAAAAAAGTAAGTTTGAAACTCTAGGACACCTACGACTAGCCCTATTCCCATAGATCAAGCCCTTAGCCTTAGCCTGCCTAAATAACAAAGAAAGCCCCTCAGCATAAATAATAAAAAGATAGGGGGACAAAGGATCCCATTGCCTCAGGCCCCTCTTAGGGATAATAAGCCAAATAACCTCCCTATTGCATAAGACAAAATATTTGACACTAGTAATGCACATTATCATCCAGGCAACCCACTTATCACTAAAACCTAGGCCAATTAACATATGTTTCAAAAAGTCCCAATTAACCTGGTCATAAGCTTTGCTAATGTCTATCTTAAGAGCAGCCATGCCCGATTTCCCATCAATTTTACATTTCATGTTATGAATAATCTCAAAAGCCACAAGGATATTATCTTGGATTAACCTCCAAGAACAAAAATAGACTGACTCTTAGAAATAATATTAGGTAAAATCTTCTTAAACCTATTAGCAAGAACCTTGGAGATAATCTTATAAAGCACATTGCACAAATATATAGGCCTATAGTCTTTCACAGTTTCAAGATTATTATTCTTAGGAATTAAAACTAAAAGAGCATCAGTAAGCGTCTAAGGAAAAAGTACCTGAGCAAGCCATTTGTTGCACCTTGCAATAATATCATTGTCAATAATGTGCCAATATTTCTAATAGAACATTGGGTTTAAACTACCTGGCCTTGGTGATTTATTAGGGTGCATTTGGAAAATAGCCTCCTTAAACTCAGCCGATAAGAAAGGAAAGCATAACATATTATTATTGTCCTTAGAAACCTTAGGGGAAACCAATCTGGTGATCCGATGGGGGTCTGAAGAGCTACATGCAAATAAAGCATTAAAATAATTTTTTATATTTTTTTTATACCATCTTTATCTTCAATCCAGACTTTGAAGTCATCCAATAACCTATAAATCTTATTTGTCCACCTCCTCCCCTTAATAAAAATGTGAAAAAATTTTGAATTCTTGTCTTTGCTTTGTAGCCAAAAGGCTTTGGCTTGGTGACGAAGTCGCATGTCTTCCTGCTCTAAAATAATATTCCATTCCTTACAAAGTTTATGCAACTTCAAATTAGAAAGCAAGTCATAATTGTTTTTTTCTCAAGTACCTTATGCACATTCCGCTTCTTCCTGCGAAATTCTTTATTCCTGTTTTTTGACCAAATATCAATCTCCTCCCTATAAGCGTTCTTTTATCCATAATAGGAGCAAAAGTGTTAATAGTCTAGCCCCTCCTCACTACCGATTCCAGCTCCTCATCTAATATCTATGAATTATCAAATCTAAAAAGAGGTTGCACCCCTGTACGAGAAGAAATAGTTGTATCAACCATAATTGGCTTGTAGTCATAAATGGGAGCCACAAGCATGTTATGGAAACAAACTGGGATGAGAGAAACCCATTCATTATTGGCCAAACTTTCGTCGAACTTCTCCTAGATTGTTACAACATTATCCCGCCTCTACTCCCAAGTGAAAAAAGGACTAATCGAAGGAACTTCTAGCAACTCATAGTCCCTAACTGCCTCTCTAAAACCATTAATCAGGAAAATAGGATAAGGATTACCCCCTTTTTCTTCCATGGAGAGCAAATCATTAAAGTCTCTTAGACACAACCAAGGGAGGTCGAATGTAGCTGCTATGGCTCTTAACAAGTTCCATAAAGACTGCCATCTCTGTCTTTCTGGAAAGCCATAAAAGCAATAATATGCACTCTATGGCCATTAATATCCAAGGTACAATTAATAAAATTATTTGAGTATCTCACCACATTCACATTACAAGAGTTCTTCCATAAGAGGGACAGACCTCCCTCCCCTCCTATTCTATCCATCGAAAAGCAAGAATTAAAACCAATAAAACTACACTCTTTCTTTTCATGAATAAGAGTCTCACTAAGAAAAATCATGTCAAGCTTTTAACTCAAGGAGATATCCTTAAGAGCGTGAACTATACAATGGTTGCCAATCTCTCAATAGTTCCATCTAATGATTTACCTGACTGCTGGCTATCCTGCTTAGCAGGATCAGCCGATTTCTGGTGTGTTTATGTACTTCCTACTAAATCCTTTGTGAGGGAAACAACTAAAGATTGGTGTAACTTATTTCTGGGACATTTTTTTGCTTCTTCATTTTTCTCTAAAGCTTCATCTTCCAATGGGCCTAAACATTCATTATTCAGGCCCGGTTGATATTGGTCCAAATCTATAAGCCCATAATTTCTTCTATTAAAACTCTCCTTACTGTTGGTACCTAAAAAAGAATTCCATAACTATTGTTGTTTGAGTTGAGGAAAGTTTACCATAACCAGGTCCTTGGATCCCGCCTATAATCCTGTTGTAGAGGCACTCGAATC